CCCCCCCACGATTATTTCATCTCTTAACTTCCGCCGCGTCGTGTAATCTGCACTAACACCGAAAGAATCGAGGATCGACAGCGGAAGTGTCGGGTCATCGTGTCAGCATGTCTCACATGGGGGGTGATGCATGTATTTAATGTTTGCCGGTCGAGCACCATCCCTCGGGTAGTCTCTGTTTGCGCACGTAATTGATGTTTGACTAGACGCGATGACACGCGTGCCGACGTCGCGTTTTATCGATGCACGCGCGCGCCGGCCTTTATAACATGAGGAACAAACGACACATTTAGGAACGCGTGTGTTCCATTAAATTGAATTAAATCGAGGCTCGCCTCTAATTTCACCGTGTCTGAATCGCGCGTCTCTCGCCGGCAATTATATTCGCACTTGCTCGAAACGCGCGGCCGATACTTCATACGACGAATCAAAGCGGCGATCTCGATCTCACCGCGTCACCCTTTAACTCGAACGACTCTAAACGGTCACATTATACGCCGCTAATGTTGCCTCTCACCTAGCTAATTGCATGGAATATATCGAGAGCGGGAGAGGGAAAACGGCGCGACATGAAAGATCCCCATTCCCCGTTGGATCGCTTTGGTTCTGCCATAGAAATTTATTCATCTGTATAGACGCCGACGAGGAGGGGGTATCGGTTCTCGCTATTTTCGCTGATATTAAGTGTTCACACATTTAAACGCGAATAAAGTTATATATAGTTTTAATGTTTCACGTTGCGATAATCATAATAACGTCGAAAGAGAAGTTTTTAATATCGCATGGAGAAAAATTTGGTTGAATTTACTGGACAGTAATCGAGCCAAACGTGTTTTGATTGAAACCGCATTTCTCCTTATAATAAACAAATTTCAGTGACAACAACCAGAAATTCTGCTTCCTTCACCCAAAACGCGCTTGGTTTGTTTATTGTCTGGTAAATTCAGCCAAACATTTTTTCAGTATATGTTTTACCGAACGCTTACAGAAGCGCGAATAAAATTTCGGAATATGTGTCTCTCGGAACACAACATTTCTCAAATTCACAAATGTGGGAAGACTGACAAGCGACAACAAATATCTGTTGTGCTCATATTCGTACTCGCGTTCCGCAATCACGGCTTAGCGCTGCGGACTGGTGGGGGAAGGCAAGAAGAGGGATCACGGTGACCGAGACGCGTTGATAATTGCCGGTATCGGTTAACCCAGGGGGTGGTTATGGGTCTCGAACACCCCATGTAGGCGCTACCGATCTGACGGTCCCCTCGGCTTTTCTCCGCGTGATCCCTTTTGCCCTTTATCCGGGAACCTCCGCGAGCCCCTTCGCTTCCGCCACCAGTGGCACCGGTAACTGCGACTAGTCCACCCTCGTCGTTCCCAGCAGTTCGGGGGTGACTAAGGGTCAGAGAATCGTAACTGTCTCGCTTCTAAAAAATGGAAGGAATACATTAAGAATCCCCCAAACGCGAGACGCGCCACGACTTCCGCCCTCCTTGCGCGGGAGTTTTTTTCTTTCTTCTTGCATCTTGGCGCAAAGCCCTACTCGCGAGTTAATTGAGCATACTAATGAGAAACACGTCTTCCAGCGAATCAGAAAAAAGTATACGCGC